TTGTGGCTTTGCCAGAAGGAGGTACAGAGGAAGGCAGGTGCCCTGAGGTTCCACACCACCCACCTTCTTTTCCTTTAAGATGTCATGTCATGGGAAACTGCTGGGGTCTTTGGCCTCCAGCTGAAAATAAAACTCCATTTGAACAAATAGAGTCCAGCAGTCAGCCCTGACTGCACGCCAGAGTGAGGATTCCAGTCCCACCCAGGTGCAGTGATGGAGTTGTTACTCACATTGCAGACAGGAGAGCTGGCACTGGAATGCTCTGCCACACAGCCACAGGCACAATGGATCCCGGACACTGACATGCCCATCTACCTGCCTTGTATCTTCCTACATAAGAACTAGCACCTTTGCATTTGTCCTTCTTATGGACTTTAAACTATACAACATGTATGCTCCATTTGTTTGGTGTCCAACAGCTATCTGGGATTATGGTTTCTGCCTCTAGATAGAGTATCTTATTTGTTGTTTTAATATCTCTTGCAAAGACAGAAAGTGAGTCTCAGCTTTCAAGCTTCAGCCTTTATCCCAAGGCTGAACAACTGGAGCCTGAAGATGCTACAAGGAATACAAGATATAGCTGAAAACAACTCTTGGACACTGCTGCACCATGAGCAGTGGAAAAGGACTTAGGAGAACACCCAGTGACTTACAGCAGATTTACAAGGCAACCCAAGACCCACATTGAGTGCTGCCAGTGGGGAGGAAGTAGGAAAGAGCACAAGGATTAGATACAGAAGCACTCGGCCCCCCCAGCATAGTCACCAACAAGCTGATCACTAGAGAAGTTGCAGATGGGAAGTAGAGCTTATGTATTCCCAGATAAACAACTGAGTGAAAAGAAAGATGCTGAAGAAATGGAAAACTGCAGAAGATGGTGAAAAATGGCACCAACAATCAACAGAGCAAAGGATGACAAAGAGAAAACACATCTTACAGACTTCCCCAGAACACTCTTGGCTGGAAAAGGGGCTGATGATGATCTTTCCTTTTGCAGGTGAGGCTGAGATGGCCTTTGTGCCAGCCAAGAGGAGAAAGAACACCAGATCCACAATGCAAGGAAGCTACCAACAAGAGGCTGGATCCTTATCAGCTCTCAGAGGTGAATCTTGTATCCTGTTTTTAGCTATTAATCGTACTAAGTCTTATGACCAGGTTCTCATCTGATGCCAGTATCAAGGGAGCTACATCTTCTTACAAACTTAGAGTATGAATTCCAGACATACTGCACATAATTTACACCATTTTCATTTAAACCCTAAGAAAATACAAGCCCATCCCTTTGCTTCTAAAATAATTCAAGGCCAAAATTACTGATATTGGCTGACAAATATCTAATGAAACTAAATTATTTTATACTAACATTTTGACTGTTTGGTTGAAAACGTGAAGAAAAACACAAGCCATCTATCAGCAAGCAGCTCCTTCGAAAAGAAACCATTGCTTTGGAGAGAAAAATTGGCTGAAATGCCCCAAATCTTTCAATGCCCAAACCAAGAGTATGATTTGTGTGATGTGTTCCTTGTTGAGCTCAGCTCTGTGCTTTGGCAGTAAGAAATAGATTCATTTGTTTCAAATGAAAACCTTTTTAATACAGAGGTAACCTCTAGGCCTTGTCTTTAGGAAGATGTTTAGCTCGTTTGGTGTTCTTAAATGCAAATTTCAGCTACATTTTAACTCAGGATTCTAGGGAAATCAGTCAGCTTCTACTCTGTTAAACCTTCCTTTACATGGAAAAAGGAAGGTCTGTCTTTCAAGCTCTGCTTTTCTTCCCTTTGGTAGCAAATGACACAAAGCAGCTTGCATCCCCCTGCCAATGTGATCATCCCCGTATGCACTGAAAGCAGAGCTGAGATAGGAGCTGCTTGTACAGACGCTGCCAAGATGCAATTCCCAAAGAAATTAATGAGCCGAGTTCGGGATTGTCTCAAGCAATGTAATTCACTGGTGACACCCGGTGTGAAGACAACCTCTGTGGGGGCTCTCTGGAAGGGAATCGTGCTGTTTAATTCCATGCTGCTAGTCCCTGTGACACGTTAAAGACTGTTTCCCCAAGGGCTCTCCCCCCTCCCCACCACAAACACCTTTTGGACAGAGGAAACAGCACAGAGCTGAATTCAGATGCACAAACTCAGCCTCTAGAATACCCACTCCTCCCTGGTGATGAGGTGGTCAAACCGAGCCACTCTGTTCTTTCCTAAGTGCTCAAGCCCCAACAAGCATCTAATCCCACCTCTGATAAACAAGGGAAAAGGCCCTTGCCTCAAATCTATGCAACCAGGCAAGAGGAATACCCCCTGAATCCCTGTTTCTCTGCACCTCGATGCAAAACACACAAGCAAATGAAGACTAAGAGGACTCTTGCTTAAATAATATGTGTCAAAACACTCAGTGAAATGCAGGTTCATCTTGAATACTGGGAGATTCTCTAATTAGACAGAAAAGATGATAAAAGGCTCCAACCCCCTGGGTCTCTGTATGAAGATTAGAGAGGGAGAGACAAGTACGTGTTCAGACTAATGGAAGAATACCTTACCAGCACTTCAATCACTGCAGGATATTTCATGTGTCCATGTCTTGGGATAAACAGGACTCTTTAAAATTGGTTAATCTCTTAGCAATCCAGGCGAGGAGGGAAGTGGTAAAAGAGCCAAAAGCTCTTGCAGGATCTAGGAACAAGCAATTAAAGGTTAAAAATAGAGAAATCAATATTTACATTCCCATATCAAGGAATAACAAGAGCAGCACTTTAACAACCTGTCTTAATTAGGCAGAGGGGAGAGACCAGTGTTGCCCGTGGAAGATACCAGTAGCTGGAGGGGTGGGACTGCTTCGTGGTACAACCTTTTCATAGCATGCTCTGGGTCTAGGAAGCAGCTGAGCTGTGCTGCTTTCCTGCATGGCTTTTTATTTCCCTGGTGCTTATGCATAATGCATTAACCTGCCTTTGAGCTGCTTTCAAACTGCTTGTCTGAAAAAGCTGACGGAGTCGCCAATGACAGTCTCTTCTAGAGGAGGACAGTGTGGTTTTGCTTCGGCTGGCGCTGTGATGGCAAAAGGAGAGTGACACAAGAGCCAGGCACTGCTCTCTGCTGGAGATCCTCCTCAGTGCAACTGTCCCGCCGTCCTGCAAGGGGTAATTTGGAGTCTCGGCAGCTGGATATTCACGGTGGAAAAAGCTCATTCCAGTTGGTTACAAGACATTGCTGAGGCAGGGTTCTCCATCGTGGATGCTGTGCCCTGGCTTGTCTGAACTGGTTGTTTAGTGTGTTCTTTTGGTGTGTTTTGGTTTTAACTTAAGGAGGAACTTCAAGGCAGGAGTCCAGGGATTAGCACTGATAATGCTGCAGTTTGTAACAACACTGAGGCTTTCAGTAGTAGAACCCTTTGGTGCCAAGGATTACGTGAAGCAAGAATTTGAAACAAGTCTTGCCTCAAAGAATTTGCAATCTACTTCCTTTATTCCAAAGCAAAGCGAACCAGGTGTGGGAGCCTGCTGGGAAATCCAATAATTGGGCACAGAGTTCACCACGCACTGCACCTGTGTTCATAGGTGGAGCACAACGGAGACATAAAACAACTGCTTGTAAAACAGGAGAGATAACAGCATCCAATACCTTTGTTCCACTTATGTCAAAGGAGTTTTGTCATCGAGACGGAAGGTTTTACTCATGCAGCCACAGGATGTACTGTAACAACGATAAAAGAACAGTCCAAGGACTAGGTAACTCCAGTTGTCATCTGCTTGCTTCCTGCCTCCTCCTTCCCCGTCACCACCTAATTCCATGGGAACAGAACAAGGACAGAATGGGCTTTTCCTTCTGTACATAGCCTTTACTGTTCCCAAAAAGTTTTGTGCATGGCCAAGTTGGAGAGACAACACAGGCACAGTTTCTGGAAGTATTAAGCCTTTGTATGTTTTCCATAGATTCAGAGCCAGTGGGTATTGATATCCCAAATATGCATTATAAAAGCACAGTGTTAGACCTCTGGGCCTGTGTCTCTGCCAGGGTGAGATGGTGCTTGAGTGGTTTCAGCTATTTTAGAACCTGACTGTAGACTGCACCAGAGAGTTGAATGTGCTGTATGAAGAACACCAGAGACCTGAACCATGGACAAAGCATGGGGATGCTGGGGGAAAGCCCCTGAGTCTCATTCTGCCTTGCAAAAGTGAAGTTATTGCTATGTATTATACAGAAGAAAACCACTTGACAGAGGAAGATTTGGAAGTTTTGGTTTAGTTTATCATTCCTAGAAAGCCAAGAAGTTGGAAGTTCTTCACAGCTGCTAAAGCTAGAAGCAAGCTCTGACATTCTCCACAGACAACACAGCAGCACTTCCTGGGTAGGCAGATCCCACTACCTTTATACTTAAAACAATAGGATTATCCCCTACACATTCACCAGCTTTTGAGCCCTGGGGTCTGAGAAGAAGCACTAGAACCACTGCAAGCCTGACATGATTAGTTACCAGTTTGAAGCTGGGTGTTTCCCATTCCCATCTCTCCAGTCATTGTCATCCAGTTCACATGTGCCATCCCACTCTGCGGCTGCTGTCAGGGGACCTCAGAGCTGTCACATCCTGGGCTTGTCAAAATCCTTTAGGCTTCACAGTTGAAAGAGTATCTGTTTCAGTGCATAGTGTATGGCTAACACTTTTTAGGAGGCTGTTCTTGCTCTTTTCCCTTTGCACATCCACACCTCTAGTCCTTGCAGTCTGTCAGACTCTGCCATAGCCACCCCCAGCTTTCCATTTGGAATGATTTGTGCTCAGCTTAGGTTTTACAGCAATGGGCTATCAACCCAACTGAAGCAGTTACCTTACAGTACCTTCTTCCGTACCAGCTGTCTTTCTAGATATGGATCTTATGGAGAAGATCCCAGCTCATCTGAAGTTTCTCAATTTCCAATTTTGCAGCTACTTTTCAAGTAGAAGAAGCTTGAGAAGCCAAGAATGATGAGAACAGAACACAGGGTAAGGCAAGCTCTCAAGAAAAACAGCCAAAAGAAGAGATACTAAAAGTACCAGTGGGACCAGGACCATATTTTTATATCAGTGGATCTAATGGAGCTGGGCTGTAAGTAGGTCCTCTCAGCAGACTCATATGAACAGCAGTATGACCAGATATGAAGTGATGCAGTATTATCCATTGGCCTTAAATAATTTTCCTTTGATTTCCTAAACCTGGGGACCATTCAAAGATAAATCAAATAGAAAGTACCCATAGGAAGGCCACTAGTGGTAAAGTAACTAACTGTATCTTTGCAAAGGAATGAAATACTTCTATTTGTTTAATGAAGGTTTCTCTGTTTGGGCTATGCAGAAATCACTTAGCTACACCATGTAGGAAAGCTGCTAGCATCACCACTAGAGCTAGCAACCACTGTTGTTGATCAACATTCTGTTGTGCTAAATGCAGAACAAGCAGAAAATAAAGAGATTCCTGCCCAAGAAAAACTGTCAGATCAGAAGTTCCATTCGTTCCTTTCTGAGCTCTTTCCAGCACGTTGGCATTCTTCTCTAGATGTTGTCACCACCAACCACCACAGAATCTCTGCTGCAAACAGCACTTCTGTGCTCTGTTTCCATAGTTTTGCCTACAAACAGCTTTTTCTACTGCTACTTGTCATCTCTCCCTATATTCCTCAGCAGAGAAGCTCCTTATTAAGCCTGGACCTTAAACATTCCTATTCCATGAGTACCAGCTGCATCCTAATTGGAAAAACCCTGCTGAAATGGTACAAGTTCTCATTAGAGCTGCTGAATCATAATGTTCTTTAGCATCCTCAGTTACTAGGATCCCCCTCTCAAGTTCAGAGCAGCAGGTCCACTAACAGCAGTTCTAATGAATGCTTCTCACCTTATCCCCCACCCAGGGCCTCCTGGGCATGTTAGGTCAGGCTGCCAGGGAAAATCATGAGGAGTTCAAGGGATATGAGCTAAGTAAGTATTTGTTATTAGAAGGGAGGCTCCTTTTCTATTTTGTTTTCCTTATGCAGTGTGAGCATCTATTGCCAGCACAGAGGCTGGCAGCGTATCTATGACAACACAAGAGAGGATTATGCACTGAAATGGTGTGAAATCAAGTGCCAGGAAACCTATTACCATTTCAAAGAAGGTAGAGGTGCCTGTGGGCCCTGAGCGGGAAAGGGTGGTGGGAAAAACTTGGGAATGCTGGAGTTGGGATTCCCAGGGCAAAGGAGGTCACTGGGCGGTAGGAGAAACAGGTAACCTCGACTTCTTGACAGGCTTTGGAGGGGATATCAGAGCTGGATTGCCATGGTGATTAAAGGGTTAGATGAGAAGACAGCTTTGGGAGAAAGGATAACATTGAAATGAACCAAGGAGAGTTTTAAACACAAACCATCATCGTCACAAATACAGGCCTCCCTCCCCGGATTGGAGCACAGGCTGCAGTCAGGCTTGTTGAATTGCTCTTTACCTTTGGTCTGATGACACCATCCTGACTTCCCAGCTTTCCCACCAGAAATGCATAAACCCAAGGTCTCCCAAAGCAACCCCTCTGGCTGGCACCCTCAGAGCACTACTTTGCATAACAAACACAAACTCCCTAAGCACAGCCCCTTGGGCAATTCTTTTACTCCTGGGAGCTGGTCAAGACCTGTGCCCTGGCAAGCCTGAGCATCACAGCACATTACTGCAGGCTTCCCTGTGGCAGCGAGTGGTATCGCTGCCCTGCTATTCCCTGTACAGCAGCCACCTTTCCCTCTTCCTTCCTGCCAGCTCTTTTGGTGGCTGTTTGTCAGGCTGCCCCATAACAGCAGTTGGCAGTGCAGAAGGGGTATGCTCCAGTGCAGTTCTGCAGCTGGAATGCTGTGACAGCAGGGGCACCTTTGAGTGAGCAAGGGATGCACTGTTTCATGATGCCCCATCACGTCTGTCTGTTCTGCTGCAAGGTTGGACAGAACCACACTTACAGCAAGTGTTTTCACTGCTCTGTGCGTTGCCTTAAAGCAAGCTGGTGAAAGGCAACAGTGACCAAGTTAGTTTCATCCTCCAGATTGTGCAGCATGGGACAAGTTTTATGTTTCTTCTCTACCAGATCCCCAACAATGGAGTCCTCACCAGTAAGACAGGGCTTTTGTGCTGCCTGAGGGAGCAAGAGCGGGTGATGAATACCATCAGTAGGAACTCCAGTTCCAAGTAAGAACTCTCACTTCTTTGAACCTCGGCCAGAAACATGCCAACAGAAAGTGAGAGCACATAAACAAAGGACCATTTTTTTCCTGGATGTGTAACAGTAGAGGGAGGGTACAAAGTATATGGGGGGTTATTTCTTATCTTCTAGAAAAATCACTTTTTTTGCCACAAGTACATACATCAGAGACTGAATTTCTTCTTTCTCTATGTCTGGAGCTGTGGGAGTGCCCAAAGACAACAGTCATAGTAATTCCCCTGGTTTGGGTCCTACTGGAAAGGCCACAACTTCTTGTGCCTTGGCCACTGTAAACAGAAGAGAAGCTTATTGCCATTTCTGCTCCTTTAGTTTTGACCTACCAAAAACCCCAACTGGCAATCCTGCACCATGGTCACTGCAGCCACCTCAACTGCTTTTCCAAACACTGACCATATGAAGAATGCCTTAAGGATAAAATATCTTCTTGAAAGCTGATGGAATGAGGAGCTCTGGAAAAACACAACAAACACCCAAGTGTCCAAAAGCAGGTAAAAAACCCCATCCTCTCTGAAAGCCATAGAGGCATGACTGTTCTGGATAGGGATTTCAACTGGTGTTTGATTCTCCCATAGGTTACTGAAGATGGAAGAATTCTACCCAGAATTTTTTGCCTGGACTTAAAAAACGAGAGAAATGCCTTTTTTGCCCTTTGCAAAGGTGAATTGTCTTTATCATGGTGGCAATCCATGTAAATATCTGTGGGATCCTCCAAAACACTCACAGAAGTATACCCAGTAGTAGTAACTGATGTCTATATGTGTATGTATACGTTCATGTGAGTGGTTTGCAGAGCCCACCAATGGGCACATCAGTGCTTCATGCCACACACATTACTGTCACAGACTCATTCTCTCTGCAGATGAACAGATTTTAATCTGCAAACCAAGTTGCTCTAACCAAGGTCAAGGAATTTTCCTGCTTACAAATCCAGCTGCTGTCAACACCCTCCAAGCCAAGTTCCACAGAGCTGAGGAATACCTGCTCAGTACGAGGGTGCTGCACAGGGGTCCCTAGGCAAGAACAGTGCAAAGGTAGAGACTGAGACCTGAGACTCACACACCTCATGTGTGAGTAGTGTGCTTGATTGAGCCTCGGAGAGTTGGATTGTTCCATAGGTATTTCATGTGGTTACACCACATCTCCTCAGCCCATGAGACTCCATTCGGTGGGACAGAGGCTATTTCTCTGGTTAGTCTGTCTTGCATCTGCACTTCAGTCGTTTCAAGGTAGATCTTTGTCATCAGGAAGATTAGAGTTTACCTTTGTCTGGAGGTTTAAGAATGGCTTCAAAAGGCCAGATGCTATGGGTCTGTACAGGAGGTCTATACATAAAGCCTTGTGGAAAGCTATTTAAATGAGATACAATCCCAGCTTCTTATACAAAGCTGGCATTTTACAGCTGCAGTATCTATTCCATGCAGTATAATAAAGCCTCCCAAATATCTTCTTAACTCTGCTTCAATGCTGCAAAAGTCTAGACCTCAATCAATAGGCAGTGGCTACCAGTCACTAACATTTTGGGCTGGGGTTGTATTATATTTCATTCCTTGCATGAATGAATTGTGCAGGTCCTTCTTTGTATAATATACCCCACAAGCCACTACTAGAACATTTTGTAGAGAACAGCAGCAGGAAAAGGAAGGGAAAAATAAGGCAGCAGAAGACATGAGAAGAGTTTCAGCTCTATGGAACACTACTTGTGTTCTGTTAACTCTGTTTCCCTTTGCCTCAGTGTCCCTCCCTCAGCTGAGGAATGCATTATAATTAAATCACTTCAGTGCTTTGAGATGAGTGAATAAAACTTTCCAAGAGGAATGCAAAAAGGTGTTTTCACCAATTATCCCAGGAGCTGATGCTGCCTTTGATGCTGCCTTTGGTGTGCACAGCTAGGCATGCAGGGCTCTCTAAACTCCATGGTGCCCAGCCATGCATGGCATTGTCATGACCTGCCAGCAACACCAATGTGATACAGTCGTGACAACACTGCAGTACTGGCGTGGCAAAAGCACTTTTTGCCATGGAGTGATCACTGCATGTCCTGGCAAAGTAGTAACACCAGTTCCTCACACTGTCCCTGTGCCAAATCCCTGACATTCTGCTCTCCTGGCTTGGCATCTTTATCGTGCAAGAGAACACAGCACACAGCAACCTTTCCAAGAGCTTCCCTGGCCAAGGCAAGCAATGTTCTCTGCTTACGTTCACTCACATATGTCTTTTTGTAACAAAGGAATGGTTGGCTTCATTGCAAAGGCTAAGAGAGATTTGTGAAATGATGATCTTACAGGCTGGACTGTGTTTATGCAGCAGCCATCTGCAACATCTGCCTGACAAAATCAGACCAAGGACTTCAGTTAGACCAAAATGTCGTCTTTGACATGGACAAGTGCCAGAGGAGAAAGTGGTTGGACCCTATTTTAGATCTCATCTTGATTTCTAGTAGTGAGGAGTGGCTTATGCTCTGAAGAAAGAGGCTCCACACACCTTTGGAAACTGTTGTTAGCAATGTTTTAACAGCATATCCTTGTTATTTCTGTAGACATCCAGCAACCTTTGATGATAAAGGGAAACCATTCCCAGATTACATCACTCTGGCAATAAAAGCAATGGTGCTGTATGAAGGGCTCTTTGTGTTCAAACATAAACTTTGTATATTCTCCAGTAAATATTAGTAAATCTTTAATTACCTCCTGCTCCTGAACTCGGCACAGCTTCTGTTCCTCTCACCAGGAGCTGCTCTTGGCATTTCTATCCTCTCCTACAAGCGCCCTCTGCTGCCATTCTCCTTAAAAACCTGGGAGAAAGGGACAAAGAGATTAATTCTATGGGGTGACTGGACTGGCTGTGGGTTTGCGTGAGCTCCGAGTTGTCATGGATTCCAGCTGCCTGCTGTGACACGTGTTGAAATACTGCCCTCACGGGTAAATTCAGCAGCCTCTGCTCCTGGAAGGGAAGAAGTTTGATGTCCACTCTTACCTCCTCATTGCCTGCATGGCACCATACGTGTCATTCTTTGCCCAGGGTTGTGTCAGGCTGACCTGTGTCAACTCTGATGCTGCTTCTGATGATCTGACTGTTCATCTGACCAAGCAGGTAAGCTGAGGCCACTCAGCTCAGCAGAAGGGGAAGGTGTGGCTGACAGATGGGAAGCACAAAGGACTTTTGAAAGGCTAAAAATAAGGGCTTCATGCATGCAAAATCCCTGCAGCCAGGAAATGCGCTTGGGCTTATGGTCAGGCACAGCAACAGGGCTGAACAGAAGCCCCACCAGAGCAGGTTCTGTCTCTGCCATGGACCAGCTCCCTGCTTACCTGACACTTTGGCTCCCTAGACCTCTTTTCCCTGACATTGTTCTCTCATTTATCTGCAGACCATAAGCTTCTTAGGGCAAGAAGCCTTCGATTTCACTACCTAGCTCAAAGGAGCCTTAATCTCGGCTAAGGATTCTGCTGATCCCATTGTGCTGAAATACAACAATCATAATGACGTAAGATGCAGATGTGTTCTTCGAGAGCCATCATTCTCAAACCTTCATCTTTGCTTGTCCTCCTTCTCAAATGTGAGCTGTAACAGAACAAAACTGCTCTGGCATTTACCCCCATACAAAACTGAAGCCTTCCTTGCTCGAATCTACCTCAGTTTTTACTTCAAATGAAGCCTGTCAGCTGTTCGAATTAACACTGATGAAAGAGAATTAAAAGGAAGAAGAAAACAGTTTGCTTTTAAAGCCCTTCTGTCCTCCCAGAATCATGCTGTGTTCTGAGAAGCAGCAAAATACACATCAGGGAGGCATCAGACAAGCCCACTTCAGTTGGAGTTTTACCGTTCCTGTAGAAGTGCAGTTCGGGACAGCAGATTATAGCTGCTCCCTGCAATATGTGCTATTATCAGTGTGCCACTTGTTTTCCTGGAATAGTTTGTTTGCTCAGCTACAGAGCTATACCTATGGGAATTCAGGTGCTGGGGCAGGATCCCAGGGCACAAGTGATATTAAACAGAGGACAGGTGCTTATTAGCAGAACACAAATTATCTGGGTTCCTGCTGGGAGGAGGGAAAGGAAATTCGCAGGAGCAGCTGGTGATAGGCCAGACTTCTTCAAATTACACCTGATTCTGCTCTTCCTCCCTTCCTGCCCTGTCATCCCACCTGGAATCACCCATTTTCCTAGTGTCTTTCCAAAAGACAAGAGGCAGGAGACACGTCACTAACCAGAAGCTTTGCAGCCTCACAGTAAAGGTCCCACAGATGGAGTTGGGAAGCAAGAAGACTTTTGAAAGGCTTAACTCCAGCTGACAAAAGGGATTAATGAACACAAGAGAGAAGCCCTCACCTTGGTTCCCTCTGGGGATACATCCATACATCTCTCCCAGATGTAGGAGACTTCCAGGCACTGGAACTGGATTTAGTCCAAAGAATATCACGTCTGTGACTTGAAAGCACCTCTCCCTGTCACACAACAGTGCTTTGACCTTGGGTAATTGTCACTACAGCATCCACGTGGGTCAGGCACATTTCTGCCTGTGGCAGTGTTGTGCAATGGGAGTCAGGACAGTGGCTCAGCTAGTGAGGGGCTCTACTCCTTCCACCTCCACGGCTTGATCCTGGGGTTCATCCCAACTCCAGATGCCTGGAACAGCTCAGGGTAGTTGGATGCCTGCCGTGCATCCTACTCTTCACTGCCAGGAATCTAATCCTCCCTTTGCTGTGCTTGCCCACCTCTCAGTACATGCAGAAGAACTCCCTGTACAGCCAGCTGAAAGACGAGACCATTTGGCGGATGGAGCATTTCAACAGCTAAGTTAATGAGAAGTTCAGAAAGCCCAAAGGGCTCCCCAAAGACTGGGTTTTCACTGTGTTTACTGTAAGTGGATGGTGTGCTCATCTGCCTCATTAGGGTGACAGGAATAGCAGGAAGACACATCACTTCCCCCAAGGAAACACACTGAGCGAGAAGGTATTGATGGTCCCATGGTACCCATTTATCTGCAGATGCTAAACACAGAAGTGAAGACACAGAGTTTAATTTTAATAACAAACAGCTGAGAAAAAGAGTGTGATTGTAAATGTTAGCTATAAAAATGCTATTATGGTCTTCACGTTCCTGGTCAATGCTGTGGTCCTGCATTAACACATCAAATACACATCATAGAGCTCTCCAGCCTGACAGGTCTTAGCCTGGAAAGGCACTACACTTTCAGTGGTCTCTTTCCTGTCTAAGTTGGTCTCACCATGCCCTTTGTCTGATTTTGCCCCATGAAAATCGTGTCAGGGCCTTAGATCTTCTTGAGCATGGAGGAGAGATGAGAAGACTCAACTGGCTCTTGATTTCTGACCATCTTCCTGTCTCACTGAAGAAATCATCTGAGCCCATGAGACTTCATCAGCCTGAGTCTAATGATGTGTCAGTTCCCTACATGACTTGCTGGGGGAAAAGGACAGAGGAGACAGCCTTCCCAGGTTAACTTTGGGAATGTGGTAGTTTAAAGCCAAATACAAAGAAAATTAGAAAGCTAAAAAGCTTTGTTAAAATATTTCGTTTAGAAAAGAGGCTCAGAAGCAAACGCAGTTGAATTTGCCAAATTTCTCAGGGGATCAGAAACTTTTCAGCCAATTTTATGGTATCTCTCTTCACTCAGCAATTCCCCACTGTGCATTTCAACTCCAAAGTGAGTGAAGCTTAGCAGCCCCTACTGCAAGTTGCTGTGACTCACCAGGCTTCTTCAAAACACGATGTCCAGCACAGCTGAGAGGGGGTTCTGAGTCACCACTGTCAGAAATGGCTGTGTTCAGCTCACATCCAGCTGCCCCCTGGAAGTAAATGCAAGAACACTGTTAAACATTATTCAGACAGCTCATTCTGAGGAAGGGACAAGGGCTGAGATTCCTTCATGCACCACTGCAGCAGCCTGGAGAGCCAAGTTCAAGAAGGGGTTTCAGTCCACTCAAAATGCAACATCCTTCCAAGTATAGAGAGAAGCTCTGCAGGAAGCAGGGGAAGGAAAAACGTCCCTTAACCAAGAGGACATCTCTGACTTACACTGACTCCTTCCCAATGATCAGTTACCACCTTTCCCTGTGTTCCATTTCAGAAAAGGATGAAGCAGATCATTTTGCAGTGCTTCCTGGCAGCCAAGCACAAACTGGATCACAAACTGAGCTACTTCGATCTCATTGGTTGTGACTTTCTAATTGATGAAATCTTTAAGGTATGAACACCATATATTGTAATACTAAATATGATATCGGCCAGATATCCAACATAGCACAGTTGACACAGGCTCTGGTGCTAGGAATTAAGTAGAGTATTAAATCAGTCAGCATCAGGTGCAGGATTCATTTTTCTCTCCAGTTCTATTGCCCAGCACCAAGACATGGCACCTGCACATTCACTGCACAGAGAAGGCCTGGCATTAACAGCTCAGGATGGGAAGAACCCTTTTCACTGCAGGTGAAGCTGTTGTGTGCATTGTTTTCACAGCAAAGTGCAGTTCATAATGAAAAGTATTGAAATCTTCATGGCCACCCAGTTTCTTCTTTCTCCAGAACATGCCAGGTGATCAGCCAGCATAAATCAGTGTGTAATGCCTCTACCACCACATCAAGTATACTGATTTATACTAGCTGAGTATCCATCAAAGGCATTGAGGAACTCACCCTACCCATGCTGAAGGATCAATCATTATTGATTCAGATGTCAGCATCAGCACCTCCATGTCCACCTTTAGCTATAGGTCAGGCCACTGAGTCTATAAAATCTGCTAGAATTACAAGTCAAACTTGTAAGGAGTGAGTAAAACACAGACAAGAAGAGCCAGAAGAAAGGGAAAAGGAAATGTTAAATAAAGCGACTGAGGTGCTTTCAGTGCAGCACAGTCCTTTAAAACCACCTGGCCTAAACATAACAGAAAGCCATCTGGCAGATTCTGCTGTTGCTAAAGCAGAAAAGAACTCAAACATATTCCAGCAAAGGGCAATGGGAACAGCAAACCCTATGAAAGAATGGAATTAATGTATGCAGCAGTGGGTAAGGCACCTGAACAATAGACTCCTTTGTACAGGAAGTCAATGGCAAGGGAGGGTAAATGGCAAAGACACAGAAACTGGTGCTTCTCAGATTTCAGTGGGAATTGTCTTTTGCAAGGTTGGCATGCAAAGCCCTGGCTGTGTAAACTTTAAGTAGAATAGAAGATCCAGTATCACTCTATTGTGGTAATTCCTACTTGGCTCCTTAAAAGCTTCAGCATTTAAAGACCATTATGTCCCCATGTATTTTTCATATGGAGAGATAAATAGAATCTGTTTCTCCACATGTATTACCTACATGAGGATTTATAGACACGTAGTAGAGACAGAGTCAACTGGAACCTGGAACTTCCCTTTGAGAGACACCAATGCAGAAACAGCCTTATTCTCCCTGTCATCTTATTTCATGACGTGTAGAATCCACTTTATGCTGGATTTAACATGGTCTTACATGTCCAGTCCTACAGCTCATCATGCCTTTCCCTCTTCCTTATTTGTCTGAGATACAAATACTCCCAGCATCATTCCTAATAATTCTTGAAGGCCCTGCAGCATCCTGATTCTGGAAGGTGTTTTTCCTCCCTCAGACTTCTTAGAAGCATAGGCTATGACAGCAGGCCCTGATGAGAAACCACAGCGTTCTGTAGAGCTTTGCATATTCATATGTAAGCTGAGAAGAGAATGAAGTGCTTTAAGAGGAGAGGGAGCTGAGATGATGGATGTGGCTTTGTTGTTGTTGGCTTTTTTCCTACTGTTTTCTGAAGCTTCCTTGTGCTGCCTTGTAAAAGCTTAAGTCACTACAGAGCTCAGGACAGTGTCATTGAAATGCTGAAGGAAGCATTGCATCAGCCATGCAGAAGGGTTTCTCTCCAGAGGTATGCTGGGAAGACAGATGTGTAAGTTTTTTATCAGCCATAAAGGGATTCAGCTCTTTATCAGCAGAGAACAGACTGAACATAGATAAGCTATTTGCCAATTTGTCAGGGGTGTACCTAAATGAAGATAACACTCAAATCCCTAGTTAAAGCAGGGACGGTTCCTTTGATTTGAATGACGGAGCTTTTCCTTCACCCCTGGAGTATGAGGTACCACGTGGATGCTGTAGACTTGGCTGTGCCCAGCCCAGGTCACCATGGTAAAAAAAGCTGATAAAAGCTTCTTAAGACTGTGGAAAACAGAAGCACAGCCTCAGCCTGTGGTCTCCACTATTGCTAAGCAGGTCCCTTCTGGGTCAGCAACTTCTGAGTAGCCTTTCCAGAGCTTGGTTTGTGACTGTGCATTTCACCACAAGACAAGTTACTTTATTCCTGTTTCTGACTGGTATTTCAGTGCTCCCTCAGCTCCAGCCAGAGGTCAGGCTCCCTGGACATCTCCTGCTAGACAAATGCAGAACAAGGCTGTGAACAGCTTTGGGCTTTGCAGCATGTTACAGCCAAACTCTCTAAGAACAAGTTCTGGTAGAGAGATGTATACATTCTCTTTCGGTTTTGGCTCTCAAGTCACTTGTAACCTCTGGGAGCATGGACCAATGCTCTCTCCCTCCCTGGGACCCCAGCAGGATGTTTAGCTTCCACCTTAGTGAAGACCCACACAATTAAATGAACTAAATGGGTTTTTCAATCATAAACAGGACAAAACTCTGTCTCAATCACGCATTTCCTGCACACTAAGTCTTGCCTCTGCCCATGTCAGCAGGGAAGGACCCTTGACATGTCTTATGCTGGCCATTGGCATGAACCTAGTCTCATCATGCAGTGCTCCTCTGAAAGACTGGACTGCTGCTGTAAGGCTGATTCTACAGCAGTGAGATTACAATTGTAAGAAACTAGATGGAAACAAAAAGTAACTCTGCATCTAGCACTATACAAAGAACAAGAAACAAGCCCCCAGACCCTGGTGTAATGCAGGACCTGGCTGCAGCTAGCCTGTTGTTCAAGAACCTTTGGACAAATCCTATTTAAAGTTTTTAAGCCTACCTGTGATGTCTTGACAGAGCAAGTTTGATGTGACAGAACACGTTGTACTGATAGGCTGCAGGGAGCAGTAACCTCTTCATCCCTTAGAAACACCCCGAGCAGCACTTCTGACCAGAGCCAAAGGGCACTCATCATTGTTCTCACCATTTGAAAAGCCTAAAGAAAAAGATCCATGCTTAGGAAGTCAAGGACAGAAAATTCCAGGTTTCAGATTCCTTTATCAGATGTTTGCTAGGAAATTCTGAGCAAGGCACCTGCATGGCAGGTGTAGGAAGAAGCACAGGAATTGCATTTACATGGAATTCCCATGGAAGTTATGGCTATTCACATAGATGTGGTGAATCTTAGCCTTGTTCTCTCTGGAATAGAACAAAGGGCATCTATTAACTTGCCTTGGTTGTGGAGAGGTTAAGAGCATTTCCAAACTGTGAGGCATTCAGACAATACAATCATAGGGAATGCAGAGAAGATGAACAGCATGACAGATATCACAGAGAGCCTTCTTCCTCCTGTCAGTTGTATTTGTTTTGAAGGAGAAGAAACCAAACCCTAATCAAGACACTGATGAAGGTTCATTGAGTTTGTCTGTTAGCACAAAATTTTAGGAGCTTTTAAGACGAGAAAAACACTTACTGAGAATGGGTTTGCAGAGAAAAACGTGTGTAACTTCGGTGCCCTCTGTTGGCATCTGCAAAGTAGGGTTTTGTCAGCAGCAGCTCCCGTTCTCCTCTGGAAAATCAACACCAACAAAGACATGTCACTGCTTCCACTTGTGAGTCTTTTAATGAAGTATTTCCAAGAAGTGAAAGTTATTGTTGTATTTTATTCTTGGCAAAATAAAGGGCCAAAGTGAAGGCCATCACGCTGCCAAAGCAATCTCACTGCTGCTGCAGGAAACACACAACCAACCTTTCCTATTATATTTTAAATCAATTAAAGAGAGTAAAATCCTCCTGGGGCTGTTACACGATTAAATATCCCCCTTACAAAACGCTGAAGAGTTCCTCCATGTGTTACATACAGGATGCAGCACCATATGGTGGAGGCAGGCAGCGAACAGTTTCTCTTGCTAGAAGTCAGTTGTTTGGTTTCACCATAGCTTGTAGCTTCAGCCCTTGGCATTTCAAAGGGAACTGGAGATGGCACTAGAATAGATATGTAAAATTAGTGCCTTAAGTGGCTTCTACTGGAAACTAAAGCCAGGAAGTCAAGGCCAAGGGTTCACTGAAGACTCAGTACCACGTTTGCTCAGTTTTGATCCCATGCCCACCCCAAATCAAAATGAGACCTATATTCCTTATAACTCTATTGCATGGTATCCAAACAACTCAACTACAAACTGTTACAGTATGTTAAGAAACAGAAGTGCCTTTACACTCCTACAGAGCAAGAATGAATCTAAAGAGCATCAGCTGGAGACACAAAACAATGTGTAGTGTTGTTCTCAAGTAAGTAAATGAATGTAAAAATGGGATTGTTTCATTCACCCATTCTGCCCTGCATGCATTCTGTGTTAGGGGTTTTGTTGGGATCTATTAGTGCTCCTACCTCTCCAGGTGATCACTAAGTCATCCAGAGGGCACTGCTCTGCCCCTGAGGAGATCCAGCCCGGCGTCCTGACTGGCACTCATCTTTCCTAGGTGTGGCTTCTGGAGATGAATGCAAACCCAGCACTACACACCAACTGTGAAGTCCTGAAAGGCATCATCCCAGCTGTAGTCTACGAGAGTCTTGGTAAATGAACAAGTCACAGTCTTAATAGTAACAGCCCACAGATCACAGGCTGGAACCTCTTCCCCCCTGCACCCCTCACCCTTCCCCGACACACAGCTGCTCTGTGCTTACTCTGTGCTTGGGTGTATTTTAGCACCGGAGTGTTCAGTCCATCCCATAACTGCATTTTCTTTTCTAGATTTGGTTCTTGGATTTTCAACAAGTCCCTCAAAGACTGCAGGATTTTGCCTTTAGAGACACTCTGTCATTTGGTGCTTCTCTATCATGAAGATGATGCAGACCTTGGCCAGAAACAACCCTTGAAGCTCCAAAGCGACTCACACAAGGGTCGATACATGCGGCCACACACAGACAGTGCCAGCCTGGCCAAAGTGCTGGAGAACTCTCCCAAGAAGCCTGGTTGAACTAGGAAAAAGGTTGCCTTTTTGGCCAGAAAGAAACATCAACACACTGTCCTGACTATACCATGTGGCTCTTCAACTGTCATAGAAAACCCCCCTGAGCTATTGCAGAGCACAAGGGTTTTGACAGGTTCAGAAGATACAAAATGAAAATAAAAGCTGAACTTGAACGTGCTGTGAATGTTCAGCTCCTTTTCACCTTATAAACACGTATCAACCTCAGTGGGAAAACCAGTAACCTCAGTTTCCTCTTAGTGACAGTGATACTGACTCTGTCGCACAAGCTACACACTGCATCATCCTCAAGGGTCACAAGATGGCAGGATTACACCACCACTGAGAACACCCATACAGCAATGAAACACACGTTGAATTCCCTGTCTCCTGGGGAATTCACAGGCAGCACCACAATGAATCTCCCAAAGCCTTTGCCTATGTCCTAGTACACCCAGGTTCCTGAAGGGAAAGTCAACTGGAAAGCCAGCTTGTCTCCTCTGCCCTCCCTAGTGTTAGTTACTAGCAGTTGTCTAAGGTCTCCCCTTTTTTACTCATCCATTCCTTGATGTCTAGCATGGCACAGATTCTTGGGCAACACTGTACCTTGGCTGGGGCCAACAACTTCAGTTTGGGGGGAGAAAGCACAACCCAGAGCATTTACCCTTAAGAGCTACTGATTTCTGATGTCCCCAAAAGTTCACATCATTGTTTGTAGTTACTGGGTACAAGCTACTTTTACAGTACTTAGCCCAGGTGGTTCTGCCCTAAGGATTCCATACAGATCGCAGAAATCCACCCAGGACTCAGCAGAGCCATGCATTCCATGAGCCCACACTCAGTCTCACTACATATATGCAGCACTGAATAGGAATCCCAGAATCCCAGAGTGGTTTGGGTTGGAAGGGACCTTAAAGCTCATCCAGTTCCAACCCCTGCCATGGGCAGGGACACCTTCCACTCCCACAAAATGGTAACAAGCCGTTACTCATCCCTGGTAGCTCAAGGACTTCTTTTACAATTAGATTCCACATAGGACAACTCAAAGACAAGCTTAAGATAAGTGCTGGACAACTCCTTATAAAACAAGGACTAAGTGCGACCAACTGTCCCACAAAAAATTACATGAACATGTACCTTTAAAAGCAGGAAATACACCTTTTAAACATCACCTACATAGAGATGAACATTGTAATTCTAAATTTGTTTGATCACTTAATCTCTAGGAACCTTGGGATATTTTTAAGGGATACTTTATCTTCTCTTTTGCAGATTGAAGGAAAAAAGAATATTGTTATCCACATTTCCTTGAGAGAGAAGCTTCTTTTAACTTACAGTCCATATACAAAGCTCAACCTGAAGTTTAAATCAGAACCCGAAAAAACCCATATACTCTGGGATTTGAGCTGAAAATTCAGCCATGATCTGGTTCAAACACTGCAGTAACTGCACACTGATAAAATAAAGCTTTCTTTCTGAATGGAAACTCAAGTACAGTGTTTTCTTATAAGCTCACTGTTCTGAGCCAATAGCTTTCATTTCCTTTGATGTAAAGAAGAGCTCTTTCACTGAAATTCTCCAGGGCTTCAATGATTCACACTTTGGGTTTTTCCCTCTGAATTGGAGCTTTAAGAAGTCAGGAAATTGGTTGCTTTTCCCATCAAAAAGCAGCCCTGAAGTCAGGTGGTTTAGGTAAGCAGGAAGTGGAACTGTTCTGCAAGGTAGGCACACAGAAACCCCAAAGGCCACTGTGCAAGTTTCCAATGAATAATATGGCTCTGATCATCTTGTTTCAGTATTAAGTGGCAGCAGCAGCAGCTATTCAACACCCACAGCCCAGGAAGCCTTGTGCACCTCACCAAGACTTGCTGCCTGTTGCCAGAGGCACAGACAGACACTCAGATCTTTCATTCCTCAAACAGTTTAGGGGTTTTTTTGCCCTCAAAATGTTGGTGCTTCTCTGCCATTGTCAGAAAGACAATAGCAGAGAGGGGAACTGAATTGGGAAAGTAAAACTAAGGGCACTCAAGAACAGTGGGACAAGCTAAAGAATAAACCCCTACCTTTCCTACTTGTTTAATTATATCACAGAGGCACTTCATTCCGCTTTCCAAGTTTATTTTACCTTTACAAAAGGTCACAATGAGAAATCTTGCTGAAAACATTAAAAAAAAACCCAAGAAGAGTCAATACAGAGCCAAGAATATATATGGCCAACACAGAAGCAGTAAGAAGTGTCTTTCCTGGCCAGTGTTTAGACTTCTGAGTATATTAAATCCCACAGCGAACTGCTGACAAGGCAGAGACAGCCTCACACTTTAAAGAAGTTATCCTATTAATCCAATCCAATGCTTTCACCTTTCCTTGGCTGAATCTCCAGTTCACCTCAATTAAGAATCTGCACATTTCCTGAAGCAACAGAGGAAAACTCACTCCTTTTAAGTGCATTTCACAGAGATACCTATGGGAAAAATTATCAGTAACACAAGAATAAACATTAAGAGGATCAAAGAAGGCAAAAATACATTGAAAGCACTAATTATGTCTCACACTATCTCTGCTCCCATTCTACATGAAGGGGAAGTGAAGGTATAGAGATGCCAGATGCAGAAAACAGTCACAGAGAAGCTGGAAGATTAAAACTGGAACTACAGAGGAATACGTTCTAGTGAACAAGGATAACCCTTTGCACTTCATTTTCCCTTACAATTATTTCACTCAGTTGCAAGATTCTGTGATGCACAAAAAAGGCAAAGACAGGATAACTCCTCTTGACATAATCACTGAAGAAATGTTCAGCAACAAAACCATGTCTGTGAATCATACAATTAATTCTCCAGCTCTATTCAGGCTTGCCAAGACTTCCTCCAGAAAAGGCTTCAAGACCAAGCAGAAAGAGCTCAGAGAGAGGCTAAGAGGTCTAGAAACCACAAGTAGGTGGTTTCCTACTGTAAAGTAGGATGAGAGTCTAAAGAAACCAAGAAGAGATGATTATAAAAGCTTAAAAAGATGCTAAAGAGTCAATTCTTCACTATAATGGCTAATACACATTTTAACTAACAGAACCTCTCTCCTGTGACTTGAAATCAGTTACTGGACTGGATTGCCTGGAGAGGTCATGGAGTCACCTCAGTTAAAGTCCACCAGGAAGATCATTATCCAGTCTCACTAAGCCTGGCTTGGAGCACAGAAGCTAGTGACTAGCTTACCAAGGTCCCACTTCTCAGGATTCTCTCTTCAAGTGCTTTTGCATCACACAGCTGTGGAGGCAGTAACTCCTGCTCCACAGCTGTTGTTATTTCACAGAGCCCTACTGAAACCAGCGTATCAGACTTGGAATAATCCCCTCTAAGTAGGAAGGTGATTAACAGAAATGTCATTATTCTGTCAGGATTTCATTTCGAAGCCCTGTGCTATTTCTGTTGTCTGTAAGACACTGGGAGGAAGCTGATGCAATGGCTGGACCAAACCAAGAAGGCATCCATAGCTTTGAATCTATTATTGCAGCCACAAAACACGTGTGGCTGCAGTAACACTGAGTTTTAACTAGCTGAGTTTTAACTAGTTGAACCCACAGGCTAGATTCTTATTTGAAACCAGTATCAATTCACTGCAAGCAAGCAAGCCCAGCCGAAAGCCTGCCCCTTTAAATTCAGGCAACATAATTCATCCCAGCCATGTTAGAGCTCTATGAAGCTGGAGGAGCACTAATCTGACATTAAAAACCCTCCAGTTTTCTGTAAGGGGAACATCTTCCAGCTGATGACCAAGCCACTGGAGCTATGCTGGTGTACACCAGCAGACGTTCCAGTTCCTTTTCTTCTGGGATGGGGTAAAAAAGCATCAGGAACAAACGTTGGGCTATTCTCTGTTTCCCACTGTCTTTTCCCTAGTCTATAAACTAGGTGAGAAGAGAGCATTAAACCAAATGTCTTTCTCCAGACACTGCGATCCTCATTTGAGTCTCCCTTTTGTAATTCAGTATCCCAGGTACGAAGGATTGCTGAGTTAGAGAAGAGAAGGAGGATAAATGTCACTCCTTTCTCCCCTCGTTTCCCTGAAAAGGATGAGGGGATCACAGAACTTGCCTAGAAAAATCCCTGCAAGCACAAATGATGTGGCTACAGCAGTCTCACTCTGCACTGAGCCTGGCTTAACCAACACCTTCTGCTGGGATGGGAGAGGACTGAATGGATTAAGGGTAATGGCTCTTTCCTCCATAAAAAGAGGGCAGTTTGGCAAGAATGAAAAGCACTGTGTGCTTACAGAACACTAGTAGATATGCCTGCTAGGAACACCACCTTATTCCCTTAGTATGAGCATCGGGACACATCCTGGAAATACAAATAGCCTGTGAAAGCTGTAGGTACCACTGTACTTCCCATAGCACTGATGGTGGGACACTGGCCTTCTACATGTGTATCAATCTGTGGGAGCACCACAGAGATGTGCAGGGGATGCTGAAGGGAATAACAACAAGAAGGGTGCCTGGTCTCAAAGGAAGCTGAAAAGAGCATCAATGAAAAACCCAACAACCCAGGAAACTTGCACTAGTAGAATGCTGCTGAACTGAATGTCAGCCTGAGCAGGTTTTCTGCTTCTAAACAGTAGGCTTGTTGAGAAGAAACACAGCAAAATTCCCTCAAGCCCATTCCTTATTGCTGTGTATGTAAAGATGCTTTATGCACTCAGCCCCTCCCTTCATTTTGGAAAAGCTGAGCTCAGCTCCCCCTTCTCACAGCACACTGCAATTCATCTGTTTCACTGTAGGCTCTGAGGGTGGAAATAGCAATGCTTTTCTTCTGGTGCTTTGTCTCCATGTTCTTCTTCTGGAAGCTGGCAGCTATAAGTCTCTTCTCTGTGCTGTGACAGTTGTGGAGCCACCATCTGCTTAGGGTAGATATGTTCCAGATCTGCAGTGAGAATAAGCAAAAGCACTTGTACATTCAAGAGGGCTTCATACATGTCAGCTAGCTGCCCATTACCTCTACCAGTACAGTCCCTCTCTGAGAAAAGGACAAAGATGCAGTCCCAAAATCAGAGTAAATCTGTATTTACTCTGTTTATTCAACCCAATTGATTCCATTCTGACACACTGTTCACCACTGAAAAGCCACACACAAGCCCACAACAGTGCACTTACCATCAGCTGCATGGTACTTTTCTTTCTTCAGTGACCATATGCAGAAATGCAAGATGAAGGTCAGCAAGATGAGAACAAACACAGCCACTGCAGTCAGGATGGCCAGGATGGTGGTATAGAGAGAGTCAATTGCAATAGGAGCTGCAATTGAATGTATTTAATAAAGGTTAAGAAGTCATGTGGCCAGACTATTGTTAAAAGTAAGGCAGTTCTTGCAAGGAAATTGAGAGATTAATTTCCTCTTTCTGTGGAAAATAATTTTCCAAGGAAAAAAAACCAGTGCAGGCATTAACAATAACACTGAGATGCTCCAAGTCAAGGGTGCAACAGATCACTGTCTGTGGTAAGAAGCCTTCATGCAAAAAACCCACGTGCCTGATCTCTTCATTCTTCAGTGTTCTCTTGCAGCTATCACTTGCTCTATCTACTCTGGTTGGGTTTTGCTTTCTGGGGGATTTGGGTTTGTTGTCTTCCTGAATAGCACTACAGCAAGCCAAATCTTCACACTTTGTCTGTCCTGAGGAAGTTAAAAGTAGCACCTCTCTGCAGTTTGGCTCAGCAGAACTCACAATTTCTCTGAATGAAGGTCCCAGAGCTGAAAGGCACCAATTCACTGCAGGGACACGGGTTGGGGGAGAGACAGGAGCAGTGCAGCTTCTTGGCTTCAAGATATTTGGTACCTGCAAAAGTCACTCCTATCTAATTTGATCCATGATAAGAGATGAGTGTTATGGACTCAATTAATACTTGTAAAGGAAATGAAAGACTAACCAAGCTATTGTCTTCCTAAAAAAATCTTGCAAAACCGTAAGAGCAGTTCAATGGAAAACTGATATTTAGCCAAATAAATGTGCTCTATTCAAGGACAATTGCTGGGCTTTTCTCTGCCTTTAGTACTGACAGTGCTTTAATGGGGGAATCTTTGCCCAGGTCAACAATTCTACCTATGGTCATACTGCAAGAAACACAACAGCTCTGGATGGTATCTATGCAGCAAGTCACCAACTGAAGAAGTGTAGAGAAAAGTTATGAGCTTAAATAAACCAAATCATGGTGAGAAAGTACCTTGCTCCAATTCCTTAGCAAGTAGACCACATACTGCATTATGTGTACTGTTGCCTTGCTTGATTGTTAGAAACCCAGTGCTTTCACAACTAAAAGAAGAGAAAAATAGTCACATTTAGAATGTCTCTGCCTTGCCCTTCAATCCTCTCCAGCCTTTCTCTTGGGTTCCCCTTTCTTCCTTCCCTCCACTCTTCCTTTTTTGCCTTTTTATAGCAGTGCAAGTAAAGTTAAGGTTGTTCCCCAACAAGATACACGCCATTACAATTGTTTATGTACATACTTTTTTAGTCCCTTGTTTCAAGTGATGGCAATGTTTGGAACAATTTTGCATCACTTTGAGCTGGACTTGGATGCAAGTTGAATACACAGGAGTTTGTCTTAAATTCTGCTTTGAGAGCAACTCTTTACAGAGGCAAAGGAGGGAGACATATCATATATTGCTGAATATAAAAAACTCAATCTCATCAGTGATCTCATCTTTGATTACATTTTATTTTCTAATTAAAGTATTAATTGAGTGTTTTAGCATGCATATCTCTAAAGAGGAAAAGCATCACTAAATACATACTCAGTCCAGTTACGGCACCAGCCATTCTTCACATTAGAATAGGTTCCCATCTCACATGGCTTACATTTGAATGTGAAGTCTAAACTGCCTGTAAGAAAAGAGAACATGAATTATTAGTGGCCAGTGCCTTTATGAAAGATGGGGATGCAAGAGATTAGAGCACAATGCACTTCCTCTGCACTCTTTCTGCATTATGAGTCACCCCCCTGGAGAAAAACGTAAGCAGTTCTTGCCACCTTTATGTTTGGGAATGTATGGGCAGATCCCTTGCAGAATTGGTAGAGGACAGTCTGATTTGACAGCAGAGGGTGCAAAGATAAGAGGCAACACAGAGTAAAAGTCTTCTACTGACAGTTCTAGCAGTTTGGAAGCAATACTGAAGATCTGAGTGTTAACGTCTCAAATTCAGGAAGAGAAGAATTATAAAACAGGAAAGCAAGGGGTTTAGTCACAGAGACCACAGAATATAAATGCCATTTCTCTCTGCACCACAAGCCTTTCCAAAAGCAGTTTACAATAAGTGATGGAAGCTGCTGCTCAGCAGCCACTTATACTGAACTCTGTCTTTCAGAGCCATTAGTGTTTCTTTAGTTACCCAGCTTCACCAGCTCCTCGCCCGCTGCACACTCAGGCAGCTTCTGGCAGTAGAGACATGCACTGTCAACACAGCTGTATCCCTGACGACATCTGCAGTCATGGTCCTGGGTATTTTGACATGTGCTGTTGTCTCCTGTGAAGAAGAAAGAAATTAAGATTTGCCTTTGTCATAGAGGCCAGAAATTAACTTCAGCATTAGTCTGACTGGCTTGACACAGGTGAAGTAGCTCCTTACTGTGCTGTGGTGGAAAACGTGGGTACCAGAAAGGTGTCACTCCCATGCATAGTGGATAAAGTTCAGAGTACTCAAATACAGCACCACTCAGACTCTTACACCATGGTTATCTGACTTACCACTGTAACCCTTCTCTCTTGTCTGGAATACCAGTAAAGGGCATGGTAGACAGAAGTAAGGCAGCAGGTTTGCTTTACTACAGTGTGCAGGTTGAGACACTGTGAGATGAAGAGGGCACTGTTAGTGTCCCAAAGCATTACACATCAGCTATCCATGCAGTCAGCTCTCAGAACACTTCCAGAGCTCTTCTGAGTTGGGCTCAGCCATGCTAGAGGAGGGATGCCCGTAAGATCCTTGGTCAGTGAAGCTACAGCTCCTTTTCCATGCCTTTCCTAACAACAGCAACTGCTTCCTACAGCCTATTGGCAGAAGCAGGTCTAAATCCAAGCTATAACCCAGCACCCTTCCTATCCTCTGTCCTTCTGTTTCTAGAGGAGTTCTGCTAGGAATTTTGCTTGCACTCAAAATATCACCTCTAATTCTGAGAGGCTCCTGGGTTCCTGAAAGCAAAGACTAATCATCTATACAGATCCCACCAGCAAACAGGATCAAGTAGTCCTTCGGGCAGTTGGAGAGCAGTTAAGGAAAAGCGCTGTTCAGCCAGGAAGCTGTGGAACCTTAAGGAAAGGAAAAAATAGGTGGAAATGCTGGCTAGTTCATTAGTGTGCTCAAAAACCCAGACTGAGGAGCAAAGAGCAAGCACAGATGATTTCCTGAGGTGGGTAATGCACTGTACAGGGCCATCAGGGAACTGCCCATACCATCCTCTGCCAACTGGCCTCCTCTTACTGTCCTTCCAAACTCCATGAAGCCTGGCAACACGGAAACAGCTTGGGGCTGCTTCATTACGTGTTCTGCCAGTGGGTGAGCCTGGAGTTGATCCCACCAAGCAATGACTCACCTCCCTCATGCTGGGTGGCTATCTGAGTGGGAAGGGAAATACCCATGGGTCTCCACACTACTGAGGACTCTGTAGCTCTTCACCCATTTGTTGCTCATGGCCACAAATCCCATGTGTCCCCTCACTGCTTCCACAGAGAACTCAATGTCCTTGTTGGTTAAGGCAGCTATATTGAAGGCTGACCCCTACTTCAGCACCAATGAAAGATGTAACTTCTCAGCTGCTCCTGTTGCTAACCTGCAGGACAACAGCACTACCACACTAGCTAGACAAGGCTTCCCTGAGACAAAGGGAAAGGCAGGAGCATTCCTTGCTGTAGGTCATGCAACTCTAATTTGACGTAACATTACAGACAAGCGAGAATCCATGACCATCTCACCACCAACCTGAGATCAGGCAGGGATACAGGTTAGAAGAGGCTGTTGATACTAATGATCACCTGAGACCTTGCCTGTGCATTTACTTCTGGGACATGCACAGGTCAGCTGAATGGAAGGATTGAAGTGGGATGCTTCCTACTCTTCAGGACCACAAATCGCAAGGGGCAGCCTTACACAGAGCAGCATTCCCTGTGTTCCCTCTGAAGTCTGAATGGCACAAACTTAGAAACCATGTTTGAATGGCTCAGAGTCAGGGTTAGGTGAACTCTTTCTCTCCTTTTGAGCAACACCAGCCCACAGAAACTCAGCTTTCCCTTTCCCACTGCAGAAGAGCAAGTATAAGCACGTAACACATCTGAAACCTGAGTCCACTCTGAAGTTTATAGCTAAGACACACTACAAATTTAGGGGGGCAGGAAGGAAGTCCTTGCCATTTTGTTTTGCATATACAGTTAGTTACTCAAGGTACATTCACATACACATTCCCCACACTCAATCACCCGGTTGACATAAACCAATACTGATGAACAGAAAAAGGACAGACACATCATTCCCTTACCTGTGTTTGAGATGCATTTGGGGCAGCATTTCTTTTCATCTTTACTGATGACTCTCAGTTCACCATCACTACATGCTGTTGCCAGAGTCTGCTGTGTCCACTGCCACAGGCACATCACCACCAGCAAGCAAGCTCGAACCTTGAGGTGACTGACCTCACCTGTCTGCTCAGCCATGTCTTGAGCTATACAACCCAAAAGCACACGAGGGTGGGCTTGTAGCAGGACTTCCCTGCAAAAGCACTCTTCCCCCTGACACTGTGGGCAGACACTGTGCTTTTTGTGGCTGCACTCTTCCTGTTCCTTCAGGGGCGGGGAAAAGATTTTGTTTGATGTCATCAAAGTCTTAAAAAGGCAGGGCTAAGCAACCATGCACCACTGTTTCCATTAGGGGAGCAGGAGGTTAAGAGCAAGATGTAGCATCACATAATCCCATTTTCAAAGGATTTTGCAAGTTGCTATAAATTAAAGCAAATTAAACCAGTGTGTTAACGTCAGCGCTCTCAGATGATTTCATTCTGACTTACAGCTCATGGAATGGTTTGGACTAGAAGGGACCTTGAAGCCCATCAAGCAGGGACACCTTCTACTAGAGAAGGTTGCTCCAAGCCCTTGTGTCCATCCTGGCCTTGAACGCTGCCAGGGATGGGGCAGCCCCATCTTCCAAATCAAACCTAATTCCTAATCCAGTTTCTATCCTAATGAATTTTGAAACATTCAAGGATTTACTGTACACATAACTGCCTCTAAACTGAAAGAGGGGAGATTTAGATTAGATATTAGGAAGAAGTTCTTCCCTGTGAGGGTGGTGAGGCCCTGGCACAGGTTGCCCAGAGAAGCTGTGGCTGCCCCATCCCTCCTGATGCTTTTCCTCATCTTCACAAGTACAGCAGTAGCAACAGAGCAGCCCATGTCTATTAGAAGGGACACGGACAGTGTAGTCATTCCAGATAGAGGAATTTCCCATTCCTCCAAAGCTCAGAGATGCACATTAGTAACTAGCACTGCCTAAATACCCAATATGAACATTAACCAGACTTCTGCTCAACATCATGAACACAGCAATAGAGAAGGGACCTCTAAGGGCCTAAGGAGACAACTGGCAGGTGGCACACAAGGGAACCCCATAGAGGCAGTTAGCGCATGTGATACCTGGTGTTTATCAGAATAAGAACTAACAATTTATTTCCTCCTACCTTTTTTGAATCTTGTTTTTCTTCTGAACTCGTCTCTACATGTTCTCATTCTTGTTCAAGCACACAGACACTGCCAAGTGATGGAACATTTACAGTCAGATCACAGATAATAGTTGTACATGCCAAGTCTAAACCTCTAAAGTCAGCAGTGACCTTTCAGAAACAACCTGACTATCCGGCTTTAAAATCTTTGGGGTTTTCTAGAGCTAATCTTACCTGCCTCTGACGTAAGGCGGTGACATTTCATCTGTCAATCCTCTTCTCACTCAGTCCTGTGTGTGATACATATCACTGCTGGCAGGTTCCACGCTGCTGCCTGTATTCAACGTTATAATCCCAAGAAAGGCCACTGGAAGCAATGTGGTCTTCAGGGTTGTTTGAGCACACACATCACAAAGTGCCTTCTCCTTTGCATGGCACAGGAAGACACAGCAGAGTCTCAAACAGGCAAAGAGAAGAACATGGAGCTGTGTTCAGAAATGCCTCTGGGTTCAGAGTCCCCACTCGTCACTAAAAAGGAGCATCCAAACTGTCTCTTAGAAGAAAGGGTCTGCAAGGCCTTGTGCTGGAGTTTGATCCAAGGGTCTCTTACATGCCAGGCTCTAGTTCCTCAGTCTTGGATGAAAAGGTCTTCATCTTTGAGAATCTTTGAGGACTGCCTGAAAGAAATGAACCTCAGAGTTCTGTATCAAGAGACCTAGAGAAGATGGGTTTCTTTTCCTTCCTTCAGCAAAGGAATAGAGGCACAGAAACACCCCAAACTGAGAAGAAAGGGCTATCTTCAGCCATACCTGCCCATACCCATAGAAAGCTCAGAACAAACCAAAGCTGAAACATAACACACTGTGATGGAACAGAAGAAAAGATGTTACACGTCTCCTAACCCCTTCTCCTTCCTCTGTGTTACTACGATCTCCACACAGGAGCACTTCCAGTGTCGGGGATGAGATTTGAAGGAAGACCCAGTGGATTCTTCCACCCACGGGAGTGCACCAATGTGGCAGCTTGTACCTCTGCCTTCAGGGCACAAACTCCTATGAGCATCTGCAGAACAGGCTGTGAATTCTACTTTTGCCCACCTTAAGGGCATCCAGCCACGAGCTGAACATCATGCACATCACCTCATTACAGATTCCTTTTTGCTTGGGGCAATTGGAGCCACCAGTTTGTTGTCCCAATTACCAACCTTTAGAGAAGAACAAAATAAAGAAGACCAAAAAGAGCATAACCACTTCCCAAACACATCATTAACTCATGCAAGTCCAGTGGCTTTACTGGCACTCCTCAGACTTAATGTCATCCATGAGAGAGCTTTGTTACCAGGGAGAGGATCTGGTTTCCTGACACTGAGATTTTGCTGATTACCCATAATGGGTGACCAAAGAAGCCATGCACTTCTATTAGTAACAGGTTCACATGAATTCTATGTAATTTCTGAATGACTAATGATATTTGATAAACTGATGCATACACTGCCTTGTAAGCTCCAGCTCACACATCACTTTCATCCCACTGTAGAATACTCCATTGCTAGGTACAAGATCCACGTTCTGTTGTACAGAACTTGTCTATGCTCTTGGGAAACAACTGTCATTCGATCTTTACTTAAAGAGCCTTTATATCATGGTAGCTAGAAGACATGTTACACAACATGAAGTGACCTGACACACCAGGGGTGCAGTTTGGTACTAGAACAGGCACGTGCATGAGGACATCAGCTGCCCTGAAGGACACCACTCAAGAAGTCACAGCTCACATAGGACTATCAAAAGACTGGGGTAAAATAAACCCTTCAGGGCAAATAATTTATCTGCAGCCTGAAACTAGAAGACAAAATTGTTGTGTTTCTTCCAGCTCTGCTGACCTTTAGGCCAGACTTGAGGTTCTGCAGTGGCTAGGACTGCCTACCCCATGGGCCCGTGGGGTATTTGCAATCCCTTGACCTGCCCTCTTTTGGTGCACAGGGAGAATTACTGCCCTGCAAACCTGCCACAGGTAGGGCTGGGACCACAGTGGCCAAACAACGTGGCCGAAGAGTGGGTCGTTCATGCAGTGCCACATGCGGACTCTCAAGGCAAGTCATTCTCACCCTGAAACAGTGAAGGCTTTGTAAAGAGCCCTGGATCCTTCCTCTAAGCAGTGCTAAGGCTGCTGCACCACGCACGTGGCAGCTCTGCCTTGGCCTGTGGAACGAGGCTCAGGTTGTTTGCAGAGCCTGGCTGCCCAAGGGGTGACTCCTTACAGACAGTCCCAGCAGCACAGGGGCCAGGCAGCAGCGTAACTGCCATTTCAGAGACAGGAACCAAGCCAGAAAAAGGCAAAACCACCAACTCCCTGATGGTACCAACCTGTGTATTTCCTTCCCAGCTTCACACCAGGCATGATGTCTGCCAGCGGCTGTGATCTTTTTAAGTCTCTCATGGCAAACCTGAGTCACTTTGATGCACTTCTAAGCCACAGGAGAATGTGAAGAGAAAATGCAGGTGATAAAAGATCTGCACTAGTCGCAGTGCAGGAAACTTGCCGTGTATTCACAGAGGAAAACCAAAACACCAAAAAAGACCAAGGAGGAAGTGAACATAAAAAGCATAAACTTACAGACCTGTGGTTTGTCTTTTTAATACCTACTGAAACATGAAATACACGTTAACTGCCAAACGTGCAGTCTGAAAGGAGCGTTCAGGAACTCCAAACCCAGCTCATTTATGTATATTTTCCAGTACGGCTCTAAATACCATCTGCTTTTGTCCTAATTCTTCTCCAAAACTGAATGCAGCAAAGTAATAAGCAAACTAAACCTCCATGTTGAACAAATAGCCTTGTTAACACTCCAAGCAGGCATGTGTGATAGCCTCACACGTAAGAGAAGAAATACTGTAGGTAGAAATCCTGAAGACCATAGGGGTTGGGGGTTTTGTTTGGTTTTCCTCCCATTTCATTGTGGCCATTTGACCTAACCTCAGTCTGTAAGTAATTCTAAAGAAACAGTGTAAGGGGCTGGTCCTGTAGTCTGTAACTCATAGCTAGTGCAGCTGAAAAGAAGTTATTCAGGAAATAAATGGTGTTATTCTCACCCAGAAATACAAAAGGAATTATCAGTCAGTTTTACAGATGGTTCTTAAAGCCATCAGAGGCCCAAATTTGTCAACAACATTCATGTAGACAGTTTGGCATGTGTTTAAGTGACCTCCTGAATCAGGCTCTATGGCAACCAAGATGCATTTAATTCACCTATCACCAAGTATTCCCATTGCCAGCACAGGTCACACTAAACCCAGAGTGACCACTGGTTTGCAGGATAAATGAACTGACACCTCAGCTTACTGCACTACACTGGCAAATATTTCCAGCTCAGCCTTATCTTTATCAGCTTAGATGAAGCTGCACAACTTTGACTGTGTCTCTTTCAAGTGCCTGAAAAAGGGGAAATCTGAATGGTTCAAAAACAGGAACTTACTTCATGACACAGGCCCATGCCTTTGAGAAGGGAAAGTTTCATTTCTGGCACGTAGGAAGACAAGTGTGGGCAGGAGGCAGCACCAAGTTGTTCAAGATTCTCTGCCTATATTTAACTACTTCCTGCCATTTTTGGGAGAATTGGAACAAAAAATCCAAGCAAGTTTTGCACAGAAGAGTAACAAGTCTGAGCACGGGGATTCAAACACCACCGTTACGCCTTTACTTAGAGTGAAATACCTACATCTGTTTATTTAAACCAGCCATCTACCAGCACCCAAATCCTCAAAAATAAATCAAATCATAAATGCCTCCAATCCTATCAAATGTTATTATGGCTTAACTCTTCTGATAGAATTATACACATGGCATAGTGACTGGATGCAGTTCTAAAGCAGCACAGCCTGGCTCCCAGTAGCACAAAAGCCAGCAATTCCAGCCTGGGATGACTTGCTGTCACTGGATCCATCCACTCTGCACTGTCTGCCCATTTCCCAAAGGATGACGAGAGCAAATTCAACACGTCCCAGCTACCTTACATCTGCTGTGCACTTCCAGGGCCAGTAATGGTTCCTTCTTCAGCCAGAGGGAACCCGTGCCCTGGTTTGCAGGAAATCTCATTTCCTGAGGAGGTGGGAGGGAGGCATAAGAACACAGTGCACTCAGGCATCTTCCTGTGCAGCCGAGCAAAAGGGCAGGAAACAAGTGACATTCTTGGAATGAGCTGATAAACCCACACCACAGAGGGGCTCTGCTGCCACAGCAGCACCTGTGTCAAGCCAACAGCTCATCTATTCCTGTGGGCTGCATTTTCATCTCGTAACCCACAGCCCCAGGTGGCTCATTAGTTATCTGCACCTTGCTCAATTACGAGCCATGAGTTTTATGGCCTCTGAAGTGCAGCCTACAAACATGATAAGCATCATTTCTGAGAATGTGTTGGGTGTTCCCTGGAATGCATTTCTCTGATTCATCCACTGCATTTTGCCATCCAACTCACTGCAAGATGACAGCGTTTAGGACACAGCACACTTTCACAGATCTCTACATTCACTGCAGGGCCTCTGTGTTTTGAAGGGGCTGAGCCTTATCATCTTGAGCAGCCCAGCAACACTCAGCTCTGCTACCTGGCCAGATAACAGAGAAAACCACTGCATACAGCATTCTAAAGGCAGTATGGAACTCAAACCCTGCTAAGCCACTGGACAGACTTACACACGCTGGAATTGTACACGCTGTAGTAACTTTTTTGCTTATTTGTACTCCCCAATCATATAGAAACATGCACATCTAGCTGCTACTACAGTTTATTTCCAGAAGTCACTGTCACACTTTGTATACAATACAAATGTTTATATACATTGTATATGCACTTCAAAATAGGAAATCATTGCTAAGTATACCATATGTATAACATATAAGGAAATATATGTTTAACAACATGTTTGTAGATACCAGTTGTATTCTTGAATACATTTCTTGCTGCATATTTTGGCATATGCTTTGGTCCTGTGTATGTAAAATACCTGTGTCCAACAAGTACTCTGACTTCCCTCCTATTTTGAACAAGTTTCCACTACTAATGTTCTCATCAGAAATTACCATGCCCTTTGCCTTCCGCCGATCCACATATTCTACTTCATACACACATGAAGATCCCCATGGAGATTTCCAAACGCTTGGAGATCTGGAGCTACTTGGTGATCATGAGTCATTCCATTTGTTGGGCTGACAGTGGGGCTACTGCTCAGTATGTTAACATGACATTGTCTCAATGGGTGTCTGAAGAAATGCAGGGAAGAGAGAAGTGGCATTAAGCAGCCACCTCTCAATAGTCACTCAACAGCTAGCACCAGGATCGTGGTGCTACTCCACTTGACCAAGAAGAAATAAGCTGAAGAAATGGAAGCACCAAGGGAAGCTGGCTAGGTTCATCAGGGAGATTCTCCACCTAAAGTAAGGAAAGTTCATTTGGGAACTAAACTGAAACACTGGAGATACCTGCACTGACAAAAGAGAGATAGGCTCTGCTTAGCATCTCAGAGCTGTAAGACGAGACATAAACTCGGTCATAAAGCAGGTCTTTGGATTTCCCCGTTTTCTGTCTGCTCGATGATCAGCTCTTACAGCTTCCTAAACACTTTTTTCATTTCAAAGACAATTCCCTATCCCTACATACAGAACTGGCCAGAAATGCACAGCGGACTGTATCAACTCAGTCCTGGCAACTGGGATGCTATGCACAGGATCCGCCCAAGAGAAAGACCCACACCATTCCACCAAGAACAGCTACTCCCATGCGTCCTAACACCAAAGGGGACACTCAACGAGCCCCAGAGGAACTGAAGTGCAACTAAACAGCTACACCCCCCACGCATCCAGCCACAGAACACTTTCACATCACTTATTACTACAATCCATTGGCTCAGAAACACAGGAAACAGTAACAGAACGTGGAGTCAGTTTTTGATGAGACTAGAATCGGAGTCAATTTGTTCTTCCTGGATAGGAAGTCGAAAGCTGTTTTCTTCTGAAAGACAGGTAATAAAACAAAGTAAAATAAATAAGTGTAGAGAGTAGAAAGGGCAGGAAAAGGGAAGCCAGGGACTTTCCTAGTTTCACGGATGATGAGGCACCTGCAAATGACATCTAGGTCAGCGCTTGTCTTTCCAGTCAGGGCTAGGACACATCAAGTGTCGCGAACAGTGAAAATACACTTTATGACTGCTCTGTGAGTAGAACACGAGGCAGCTACAGGCTGACTCAAGAGCTAAACTGCCACTTCATTCTGAATGTAGAGGTCAGCTCTTCTCAGTCAAACCTTTCCTCTCTTTGCAGGAGCTACTTTAAGACAGTTCACTTCTATGTTGGCAAAAGATTTCAAAATACACTCTTTTAAAGCCTCTTGATTCTGGATCCTCTCTGTACTCAACAGAATTCCCTGCACAAAATCATTACACCATTTTTGCAGGGACTAAGGGCTAGCTTAGAAAGCTGGGAAGAGTTAAAACTAGAAAGAGAGAGAATCCTTCTGCATGGCAACAAGCAGGGGAACCTGTGCTCTACAAGAATAAAAACTTGAAACACTCTGACCTTCAGTACGTAAGGACTACACAGAGGATCAACCACTGTTGGATGTCACTGTGCTACTTGGCTAGGTAGACTTCATTATGACTGAAACAATTAGCAAAGTTCAGAGGGCCCTGATTATTCTCTGTTCTATATATTTTCCCACATAAAAAGAAACTCACCCTTATGGTTGTTTCTACAAGGCCTCCTCTTGGTCTCCTTTCTGGCTGCTTGGATAATCAACAGGAGGATGGACATTCCACTCACCATGAGCAGTATCAGACAAATAAAAATAAGTGATATAGACCCTGGAAGCAAAACAGAACACAACACTGAAAAGGATTCATGGTTCTAGCTGGAGTTTCCATGGCTTCCTAGATCCAAAAGAAGGAACCCAGAACTCCAGAAGTACCCCTGAACCACACAGCCAACACAAAATCGCAGCTGCCAAGCTGACCGGGAAGTAACGTGGAAACCTTTGTGTGCCCCATTGAAGACTCTATAAAATACAGACATAGCTTCTGAGAAAAAGTGGGGTTTCATTTCCATGAAATTCCTGGCAAGCTCTAGTAATAGAGAGACTAGACTTGGTCATTCCCTCTCCTTACCCCAGTTAGTCTCTGTGGGACTGCTCATATCCGAACAAATGGAAGGAATCAGGCTGGGTCTGGATGGTGAGAACGCTGTAGTTGAGGTATTATTCTTGTGATGTGTGGTGGAAAGGTTCAAAGCAGATGTTGTACTCTGAGAAGTAGTTGGCTGTGTGACGTGGCTGCTGCAAACAGCATCTTCTGTTTTTGTCCCTAGTCGAAGAGTATTTTTCCCAAGAAGGCTGCAGCTAAAGATGTAAAATACACCAGAGTCATTTTCAAACAGTTGTAGTAATGACTTCAATGCAGGTTTACTCTACACACCATGACTTGGGCATCAACTGCTAGAGAAGTAAACTGGAAGTCTATGAAAGTAAGCACAAAATGTTCTCTGAATGTATTTGGATCAGTGATACATACTTGGTCCAAGGTTGACACTTTTCATATCCCCCTATGGAGTAAGACCCTTCAGGACATGGTGAGCATACTAGAAACAAAAGAAAGAGGCAGAATTTGAGTTCAGTTAGCAACATAACTGTATGACAGCTACACAGTAACTACACTGATAGCTTATACTAGTAGTCTAGTTTACAGAGCAGACCCAAGAAAACCCACATAGCCTCTAAAATCTATAGCCACTGAGTCAGTATCGCAGCATGCTCAGTGGTTCATTTTAGTCTGCAACTGGCAAGGTTTCCTGTTCTCTCTACTGGCTGATTATGGATATTAACAAGGAGAGCATGAAGATTTCTGAAGCTCAGGAATCACAGAGCAACAGCCTGCACAACTACCCTGCTGTTAACACAGCAGTGTGGAGATACCAATGAGACAAATGACAATAGCTTTTACATTAGAAATAGCAACCTTCTCATCTGAAGTGGGAGCAAGAGTTTGGAGTCCGACACGCCACTAACTTACCACTTCCCAGTGTGTATCTGGCATCTGGCATATATCCTGCCACACACTTGCAAATTCTGTCAGAGGTCTTCTCACACTTCTTCACTTCCACGCTCCCCTTTCCTAGCAACAATGGAATAAAGGGCAAGTGAGACACAAGAAATAAGTTAAGGAATTAAATAATAGGATTACTCAGTGTCTATCTGTTGTGTAGAAACACCTGCAGAGAATAGTTTATTAACAATTCTGAAGACACCAGTTTTGAGGCAGTACAAGCTTGCTTCCCTCTGAAGGCTCTACCATCAGCTACTGAAATGATAACCCAGTTCTGGACTCGGTCGTCTCAAGTGACAGGCTTTATGGCATCATCAGCCTTTGAGGAGCATGCACAGATAAGAAAGCACAGGAAGACCTGACTGCCTCCCCAAACCGTATCAGGTGCCCACTGTAAGCTGACTTACTAGTATTGCAGATTGTACAACTCTGACAGAACTTGTGGTTGTGCTCACTACTGAAGTATTCATCTTGACAGGGGGCACAGACTGTGTCTGTTGTTGCAGTGCAGCGGCTTCTCATTCTTTCACCTAAAACAAGGACAAGGAAGAACTGATTACAAGCTGAAGGCAACCCTCTTCGTTTTCATGCATTAGAATGGAAGAGTGCCCAGAAAGTAATAGTTCCACTTACAACTCTGGCTGAAAACATTCAGCAGATTTAGATATGCTGGAATCCCCAAAAGTTTTGACCCATTGCATCACTGCAAATTAAGCAGCTAAAAGGGACTATAGAAGGGCCTGATGACAGGCTTTTAGCATAGAAATAGGTCTTATCTCCAGCGTAATCCAATGTCTTTATGACAGACCCTATCTTCCCTTACAAGATAAATCATGCAATTCAATCCAAAGTAATCCCAAACAGATACAAAAGATGGCAATGGACTGCTCAGGTTTGCAGTTAAAATTCATTAATGAAGCAGCCAAGAACAAATGGTTGGAGAAGCTCCTGCTGACATTCTGAAAGCCCATTAGGCATGAAAGAATGTGGTTATATTTGGATACGCATCTGCATTGACACCCAACAATATCAAAGATGCTACTAGCTCCATTCATGAACAGCAAGACACAATGCAAGGAGTTTGTTACCATTCCAGACAGTCTGTGTGTATCACAAGAGGCATTTAGAAAAGAGCTCTGAGAGCATGCACCAACAAATTCCAGTCTGTATGATACTCGGTACTTACACGGAGGTTCAGATTGATCTGTGTGCCCCAACTGAAACAGCAAGTTAACAGTGGATTTTGGGAAAGGAGTTGGGCATATTCTTTCTCTCTCACTAGCTTCTCTCCATGCAGGAATGACAGACAGCTTTAATAACTTGGGGTTTTACAGCTGAGCTTAAATACATCCTTACTCTCCCAGACCTCATCTTTCATTTTGGTTCTCCATCTCCCCATTCTGCAGGTGAACAACGAGCACCAACTCTCTTGCTCGCTCTAATTTTCTCTGCGTTTTAGTGAGTACTATCAGTGGCAAGACACAGGAGGTTTTTAGTGACCACGATATATGCAATACACTTTTACATTTTTAATCTCTACACGCTCAGGAAGAGACAAAGAAGACATGTTTCCCCAATAGCAGCAGATTTGCTAACAGACACAATCTACACTCCCTCTAGGCACGTACACGTACCCTTCTTTTAGTACAGTCAACTGACGGTACTACAAGTAATCCCTTTTGTTAAGGGGACTGCCCCCCAAGAGCAGCATTAGCTGTTAACTGTTGTCACTCTTCACCACCACATCATTTCTACAATGAAATCCCAACTATCAAAGTATTCGAGGTTTGATATTTTGCATTTGTGCTTCTTGATACTGCACTGCCTTCAGAGATACTCAGATTGTGGGGAAAAAACCATGCAAACCCCAAAATTCAGCCTTGTTCAGTTTCTACAAGAAAGGATGAAGCTTGCATTTCCTGTCAAGTTATGCTTTCCTAATCTCTGCTATGAAACAAGCATATTTTTTCCTTGAAAACACACCAAGTCTTATGTAGCACAAACTTTGCTTCAAAAACATCTGCAGCAACTACCTAGAGTTTTCCATTATTATGCAAGATTTCTGAGCTGCTTTATGCGATAGGTAAAAGACAGTAACATAAACGCTACCATCTTTTCTCAGCTAATACTCCCACAATAAAATGCACCAAACTGACACATTAAGGAAGCAGAGTCACGCAAAAGAAGTTAAAGAACGTGTAGCTCTTCCAAAAAGGAGGATTCCTAAATTTAGTGGGTTACGGAAATAATCTCTGTCAGTCTAGACTGATTGAAAGTCTCCTCATCAGATGCTCTTTTCCATGTTACACTTCCTACATCTGAATGATATTTCCATCAAGCTGTATTTTATTAACTGACAGATATTATATTGAGCAAATATAACCAACAGCCAGTGAAAATCACTTACCAGGGGCACAGTCCTTGCAGCATTTTTCACCAAAAAGATGCTGGTGTTCTTTGCATTTCAGTTCCAAGCAGTGGCTGATAGCGACGGCCAGCAGCAAGAACCAAACAGTAGAAAAACGGGAGTAAAAACCTACAGCTACCATAATGCAGCCCTATTGCCCCAGCTAAATTCTGATAGCTGCAAACTCTTGGAGACGTGATTCTAAACTGCTGGTGCTCAGAACAAGTTCATACGTCAGTTGCTGGGAAATTCCCGGCTTGTGTTCCACGCCCCCATCCTTTTTCCCACCCCCCACTCCCCCACCTATTTTTGGCAATTCACAACTAAAATATTTATAGGCAAAAAGACAAGATGGTGAATAGCATTTGGAAAGGATTTCTAGTCGTAGCTTTAAAACAGAGAGCCTCAAGCAAGGTACATACCTCTCTACGTAGAATTAAAGCACAGGCCTTGAATGCCAGCAGGACTAAAGAGATGATCCTTGTGACTGTAAAGAGGAGTACTAAAACAATACAGAGGTAATGTCTGAAAACCTTCATAGATGAAAGCCATAGGTAAAATGAAACAGAGCCCACATGGGCTTCCTCCTTAAAAGGCAAAGCACAGATTTGCTCCCCTTGCTCTCACAGCTAATGGCAGACCCATGACTTTCACTGCTGCATAAAAACCAACACTGTTAACATGTTTCTCTTCTCAGGAAGAGTGTGGAATCACAGATTGTCAGTCATCTTGATACTGCCCTCAGAGCTAGCAAAAGCTACAGAGAAGAAGCATTTACAGTCTCCATTTCAACTCAGTATCAGACTCCCTGCATTGCCACTATAGAAAAGGAAGCTCCGACTCCAAAACAGAGACTTCGTGTTTCCCCCACTATTTCCTCCCATGGAATAAAAGCTTCCAGCAGAGGTGTGCTCTATGACAGCAAAGGGTGCCATACTCACATACCAACTACTTCTGATGTCTGTTTTGTTCCACAGAAGCATGTTAACTCTGGAATCCAAACCCCAGAAGGCTTCTCTATCCAGCTTGCGAGCCAGCAATAGGCCAGCAAGAAAGGAGGCTGAAGAGCACACTGGCAATGCAGTCCTGCCCTCACCTACCACAAGCACGTGGAGAAAGTAATGATCGCACTAGGAACCAGGGGGGTTATCTTTCCAGGCTCACTATTGTAATTCTACTCACTTGATCTTATCGATCTCGGATCTGAATTTTAGGTCTTCTAGTTCTAAGAGACTTGAGCAACTTCTATGCAAAGGCCCAAGTTAACAAGACATCCTACAGTGATCAAAGATGTTTTACTTATATTAGTTAAACACAGCCAGACCCATTCTTCCCACTGCAGTATCACACTCAATGCCATTTAAGTGGGTTTATACCTCATTACTCAAATCATTCCCTCAGCAATATTTAACCAATTTCCTCCCCCAACTCTCTTTCATACTTTACCTAGTGAATAATTACTGACTTATTGAATAAGAACCTGAAAACGCAAACTCCTATGATGTTCACAAACAAGGTTAAAAACCTGCTGTATACATTTAAACTGAAACCTCCCAAAACTAGAGCAGTGAAGATGAAGCATTGATATTCTTGTTAAAGATACTTAAGTACAAATTAAATGCTCATTTCATAAAAGCAGTTGGCTACATTCCATCTTGAGAATTCAACCTCTATGTATGGCATCATTAAGTGTTACCAAGCTTGATATTGCCAGATTCCTTCAAGTGGCCATAATAAGCAAGTAAATAAAACAGGGAAAGAACACAGTGATTATCCCACAGCACTTCACATCTAGCATACTCCTTGGCTGGATTTTCACCAAAGCAAATTAACCTCTCCCAAATGCTGCCTGGCATTCCCATGGCGATCATGTCTACCACAGGCCTCTCTCAAAGAGCCTTGATGCAGCTACTCTGGTTGTAGTAGGAGAAAAGAGCTTCATAGTAGTGACTTGAGCCATGCTGTAGGTCAGAAATAAGACCCTTCTCTACTTTTATTGAACATATGTGTATAATTTTTGACTATAGATACTTATTCTAGCTATTCTATACAAGCTTTTGAATTCTGGAAAGATGAAACATGTCCATGAGATCACAGCACTCACATACCAAGACCTGTTAACAGTAGGCAGATTATCTTTCTTTATGTACGCAAGCAAAGAACATCAAACTCAAAACTAGACCTTCATAAAAGGCTTTAAAGAGAAAGCCACTGGATTCCTGAGGGATTATAAGCAAGTAAGGGTGCTCCTATGGGGAAGGACCCACCAGAATCTGAGAAAGATTGAGAGCATATAAAATACTTGAAGGATTTTTTAAAAATAAGTCTATAGACAAACTGGAATAGTTTGAATTTCTAAGACAGGAATAAATCTCATGTACCTCCAAATCTCAGCATGCAGTCCATTTATCCTTAGAGCTGTTAGTAAAGAGGTGATCCTGATTTCTGGCAGAGAAAAACAAAACACATTAAGGTGCAGAACTCCATGCATACATTAAAAATGGGGGGGGAAAAAAAAAGGGGGGGGGGGGGCTGGCAGCTCTTCCTCAAGTTTCAGATTTATCAGCTGCAACACTACACACCTCAGTATTTTTGCTAAGTACTATGTTACCTTGTATTTTCCAAGGGATTCCATGCTCACATTATCAGAAGATTAAAACTTAAGACGGTGTATGTATAATCTTTGTCTCTACTGACAGATAAAGTTCCAAATTTCATCCTCGTATTTCAGCTGCAAACTGGAACTTGCTTTCTGAGCAGCAAGTGTGACAAGACAGAATTTGTACACCCAGATGGTATCTAAATAATGGAATTGTACAACCAACCAGAGTATAACACAAAGATGCAGCCCAGACATTTATACAGTTATCAACCAATATTGCTAAAAACAACCACTGCAAAACTACCTTCGCATGTTTTCAGTTTGTTTAGTTCAAAGTGCAGGTCACTGCTTATTTTAATTAAGGCTTCATAAATAAAAGCAAAGCAAAAAGTAGGCCTTTTGCCAGTCAATCTAAACCAGCCCTCTCTATGACTTGTGTTAAACCCCACGTTTTTAGGCACGGGATTGTCTATATGAAAATCTCACCAACCTGCAATCGAGTGCACGTGGAGC